ATCCAAACATTTTTTGCGTCACATGGCAGCCCACTGGTTGTAAGACTGTTTAGTACAATCTTTATGACATGGCAAAGGCTGCTAGTACAATCCATGGCAGTCTTGGAAGGTAGACTAGGTAAGAGAGGGTGGCCAGAGGGGATTTATTTTTCCATTTAAAACCTCAGGATATCTCGGTCACTTTCGTTGTAACAGTTTTATCAACAACCAATGTAACCATTAACGATACATCCGGATACATCATTCATGTGTACGTTGATTTGCGATAAGATTATTCGCATCATTCTCGAAACAGAGTTAAAGACTTAAAACAGACGGATGGAAATCGATTTTTCAAAAAGAGCTGCCTCACTGTACGATAGATTTAGATATAAATTTCTTCACCTTTAATCTTATTTATCTCTATTGCAAAAAGAGTTGATTGCTTCAGATCCGAGTCAGAGAACATTTGCATTTAAGAGGAGAGAAGCTACCAACATGAATTGCAGAAAGGCCCAAAGTAAACTTTTGTGGCAGATATGTCAGTTTTGATCAACATAAAGCGATTAACAACAATGTTATAAACGAACTGGTAGGAACAAGAACCTGGGCTTATGAAAATATTGTGAAAAACAAATCGTCTCACAAGTAGTAGTGTTGGGTAGTATTCATTGTATTGAAAGATTTTCACCGATTTTGATATTCTCAATCATTCAGCTCTCAATTTACTCGATAAGTAAACTTCAACACTGCTCTGCTATTCCCAGAACAGTTATGAAAAAATAGCCGACGGTTTTTCGCTCTGGTAAGAGTGGGAAACATTCCTGACTGGGGTATGAGGGATGCACCTCAACGATGAGAAACGTTAAAAGTATGGAATTCAGCCGCACGTTACATAGGTAAGAGAATTTCCTCCATAATGTTCGCACGGTTTGTTTATGCACAAGCTTGTCGCACATGTGAAACAAACTTTAATCTGATGTTGATTTTCCGATGAAATCTCACACGTTTTGTAAGAGTTTAGACTGATTTTTTGACAGTCAATCTCTACATGTTCCTCACTGACGCAAGGCCAATTGCTCAAAGATGAGATCTGCGCAGCCATAGACCAAAATATTTTCAAATACGTTTTGATGAACTCCGCAAAAATCGCTTCAGACTTAGTACTCTTCTTGTCGCATCGAGGACGACTTTATCAATTCTTTCCTACGTAGTAACCGCGTTTTTTTCGTTTAAGGCCTCTTTACTTTAATTTATGCAGTTCTGTCTTCAAGCGTGTATACTTTAGTATCATCTGACAACAAAACTACGGAAATGATCGAAATATTTATCAAAGTTGACCACATAGCTACGCAATGTAAAGAAATTTCTCTCTCTTGCTCTTTTCCTGATCCGGCTAAAAAAAAACAAGGCCTCATCAAAGTCCAACTATTGCATTTATTTCTCTGGATTACTTGAAACACTCTTTTCAAATATATTCGTTGAACCAAAGTGATTGATCAAATTTGTTTGTCAGATTACATGCCATGTGTAATCAAGAAGAATTTAGAAGAAGGAATACTCTATGTGTTTACTACAGTAGTGTATTTTATTTGTATAGTAAACGACAACACATTCAAATTAGCTTCAGTTTGACAGTTTGTTAACAGGAATTATTTCGCTTTTGAAATTGATTTGCCTGAACCAAGTCTTTTATCAGTCTGCCAGCCACAGAATTTCTTGCTTTTCCTTTTGAAAAAAACAAGACTTAAAACATGTCTGATCTAATCATTTAACTTCGTTTTTCAGGTCGTACTATCAGAGGAACGATGTAGAGTGTACTTGTCAAATTTTAATGGCACGAACTGAATTAATGACTTTAATTTCGAAATCACTTTTTAGAGACATTTTACTGACACTCAGAAATTATTGGTGACAAGAAAGTGAAAGACAAAAGAAAACTGATTTACACTGCTAACAATCGATAAATGTGATAAATTTCTTTGGACAAAGGGTCAGTTGAAAAAACACACAGCTCATCCTTGACTCAAACGAGATTCATTAAAATTGTTGGGCTTTGGGAATGTAAGGGAACTCAGTAATCTTATCGTGACGAACTGACGAAGTAATCTTATAGTGACAAGATGAAGAATGAGAGCGACGCACGGTGAGCAAACAAACGAGCCACCACAAACTGAAATGATATAAACCAAGGACGATTAGGAGCTAAATGGCTTTTTTTTACTCAATCCCTCTTCCATTTTCATCAATGTGAAATTTGATGTTCGTTCTCCTTTTTCCTCCAATTTGCTCTCAAGCTACCCAGGCGCTGGAGTACCCTAAGGAAAGTAATCATTTTGTGTCGGGAAAATTCCTTTGAGCTTCATTTTTAACGAAAATATTTCTTGAACGAGAGAAGCTAAATGCTGTATAACTTATTTATACGGTAGTGGTACATACTAGACACGACTGAAAGAATACTTACGCTCTTTAATTTTGCGCCTAACACGAATTAGAATTGATTTTTTTTTTTAACTTCCCAGCTTATCCCATCACGAGGGATACTTATGTTCTTCAAAATAAAAATCATGTCTCTAAATCCCGCATATTGTATATCGAGGTTTATCTAAAGTGAAATAAAATTTGGAAATCTTCGAATGACAAAAGGAAAATGCTCTTTGTTTTAAAAAAACATCTTTCACCTCCTCATATCAAGTTGTTTGTCGCATTCAGGAACTTTTGAAGAGCTCTATCAAGGAAAACTACACAATCGACTTTAATAGATAGGATTTACGAAAGATCATAGAATTTTTTTTATGATACGACATGTATTTCAATTTAAAATGGTCTGACTGGGGTTTACTTGATAGAGCTGAAAGTCGAGAAATAGGATTGCCCAAGCAGAAAAAAAAAACCATTAGGAAAAGGGTTTGAAATTGAAAAATAATCATTTATATTTTAGTCCTATTAAATAATATCTACATAAATCTACACTCCAGAGAGCCAAGTCAAAAAGGCTGGCTGATTTTCTCTTGGTTTCCGTTTGCATTTTTTTGCTTTTTACTGGCCCTATAGAAGAATATGCCGTTTAGAAAATCAACATTTTTTTCACGCAGGATTTCTGAATTGATTTCATAATAATATCAACCTAATTTCCTCGTATCGTTGCAGGAGAATTGAGAAGTTTTCTAATTTTAATCGAGTTCATAGTATCAGCAGTTTTTGTGTTGGAAGATGAGTTTGCTTTAACCAACAGCTCTTCTCTCAAACTTTAAGAGACGGTTTTATTAGGGATCTCACTGAACAAGCTACGACCATACAATGTTATTTCACGAAGAGCTGTGCTTAAGAGAAAAAAAACTTTCCTGCATCGTTTGTGTTTTGTTTTTCGATCTTACTTGTTCTGAAAGGAATCGGCTCTAAACAAACAAGGAAAGAAATCGGCATGCAATGTGGGACGTAAACGAGCTCTGAGTACAAATCGGGGGTTTAGAAGGATCTGGTAAATAAGAATTTTTTTTTTAAACCCCTTTTTTCATGTCTTCAACTAAGTTAAACTTGATTCTCACTTTCTCATTTCGTTTAACTTCCTCCAGTTTCC